GTGTGTGTGTGTGTGTGTGTGTGTGTGTGTGTGTGTCTGTGTGTATTTTTTTTTCCCCCTGGTGGATGGTTCTTGGATTGAACCCAGGGCTTTGTAATGATGCTGAGCAGATGCTCTATCACTGGGCTGCATCCCAGCTCCTCCAGGAAATATTAATGGTTATGCCACGAAACTTGAATTAAATACATTTGGGAAAGAACCTGAATTAAATAAGTTTGCTAAACTGCATGTTTTTCCTCTTGGAGAGTTTTGATGTCTTATCTGTAACAAGGCTCTTCTAGGCGTTGTGGTAAAGCCATTTGTTTTAAGAAGACACTCTAACTCTGTAGGAGTGTTCCGGGGATCACCAATTCAGAAAAGGCAGAAGTGGGGGCCTCGTTTTTGCTGCTCATCTCTTTGCTCTGTTCCAGGGCTCAGGAAGAAAGTACAGGGCTGCTGAGCGGCCTCCGGATCTGGCACACCCAGCTGCTCCCTGGTGGTCTCCAGGGCCTCATCCTCAACCCCATCTTCCGCCAGAACCTCCGAATTGCCCTTCTGGGTGGGTATGTTACTTCCATCTCTCTCTCTCTTTTTTTTTTTTTTGGTACTGGGGTACTTTGTGCTTACAAGGCAGGCGGCAGAACCATTGAGCTAAATCCCCAGCCCACTTCCATCTCTTCTTAAGGTAGGCCAGGGGAACTGCTAATTAAACTGCTGGAGTGGCAGCTCCTGAGGGGCCTCCCCAGAACCCTGGGTGGCCACTTTGGGAGTTCTGTCAGGAATAAGTAGGACCAGATGTGGCTGCAGGATAGAAGAAAAGTTTCCCACTCATGGGGTCAAGGTGGGAAGGGCCGAGGAGCAGCGGGGAACAGAGACAGAGCTCCTTACCCTTGGCCTGTCCTGGCCATAGGGGCAAAGCCTGGTCTGATGACACAAGTCAGCTGGGACCAGACAAGCATGCCAGAGATGTTCCCTCGCTTGACAAGTACGCCGAGGAGCGATGGGAGGTGAGGATGCGGGCCTCCATGTGTCTACCACGCTGCTCCCTGTGACCCTCGGAGGCCTCTGTTTTGCTTCACTCCTCTGTTCCTAGGTGGTCTTGCACTTCATGGTGGGCTCCCCCAGTGCAGCTGTCAGCCAGGACTTGGCTCAGCTGCTCAGCCAGGCTGGACTCATGAAGAGGTGAGGAAGCCTGAGCCACAGCTGCTCCCTGCTTCGCCGTGCCCTTGGGTTCCTCATAAATGGGGTGTTGGGGCTGGGGTGTGGCTCAGTGCAGAGTTCTTGCCTAGCATATACAAGGCCCTGGGGTTGATCCCCAGCACCACAAACAATAAAACAAAAACCAAACAAGGTGTTTGGGGGCAATTTAGGATTGAAGGGAAGTGACTGAAAAGGGAGCTGGAAAAGCCTGAGGACACCGGTGGGGATGGTGGAATTGCTCTGCTTATCTCCACTCTTGTCCCTCTCTGTCTCCAGTGCTGAGCCTGGAGAGCCCCCCTGCATCACCTCCGCCGGCTTCCAGTTCCTGTTGCTGGACACCCCTGCCCAGCTCTGGTACTTCATGCTGCAGTATCTGCAGACGGCCCAGGTGAGGAGGCCAGGCCCTCGCCAGCGTGCGCTGCTCTTCTCAGGTCCCACCAGGAGACACCCTGTTCCTGCCTCTCCTCTGCCCCTCTCCTCCATTCTCCCCTCCCATCTCCCTTCCTTTGTCCCTCCTCTTTCTCCCCAGAGCCGGGGCATGGACTTGGTGGAGATTCTCTCCTTCCTCTTCCAGCTCAGCTTCTCTACACTGGGCAGGGTAAGCAGGGGGCTGGAGGACCTGCAAAGGGGAAGGGGAAGTCAGATTGGGGGCAACAAGCAAGAAGATAAGAGCTGCCACAGAACAAGCAGAGAAGGGGAAAGGGCGGATGAGTGTGTGGGGCTGAGGGAGGGAAGTGGGATATTTTTTGGACCCTAGTTGGCTTTCTCTTCCCCAGGATTACTCTGTGGAAGGTATGAGTGATTCTCTGCTGAACTTCCTGCAGCATCTGCGTGAATTTGGGCTTGTTTTCCAGAGGAAGGTGTGAGCACCCGAATGCCTGGCTTGTAGGGCAGTGGGGTCCTGGGGCAGTAGCAGGAAGCAGTGCCAGGACTGAGAACTTGAGTTCCATGGGGGAGGAAGTTGAGGGTTTAGGTTCTCTGTGATGGACGGGATCTGATGTTCCAGGCAGGACGACGTAGGGCAGTGGCACCTGAGAGAGGGTCTGTCTTCTCCTTCTGTCTTCCCAGAGGAAGTCTCGGCGTTACTACCCCACGCGCCTGGCCATCAACCTTTCGTCAGGTGTCTCTGGTGCTGGGGGCAGCGTGCATCAGCCAGGCTTCATTGTCGTGGAAACCAACTACCGACTGTACGCCTACACAGGTGCGGCTGGACGGGGTCCCTGGAAAGTGGGTGAGGGTGGGAGAGGGAAGGAAAGGAACAGCAGGGAAGGCCGCTTGTGCTCGGGTTTGCCCGCTGCAGAGGGGCTGTAGGGAGGCCCGGGGCAGGGGCCACCTTCTCATCGTCTCTTCTGTGCCCGATCAGAGTCAGAGCTGCAGGTCGCCCTCATCGCGCTCTTCTCTGAGATGCTCTATCGCTTCCCCAACGTGGTGGTGGCTCAGGTGACCCGGGAGAGCGTGCAGCAGGCCATCGGCAGTGGCATCACGGCCCAGCAGGTCTCCACTCGGGGTGGGGGAGGGCTGTGCCTGGCTGCAGGCTGCAGGGCGGGCCCAGCGTGGAGGCTCTCGGGTCCGTCGCAGCAGTTAGGGTGAGTTGTCTGTGTGTGAGCAGCGGTCACGTGAGGAAAAGGCAAGGCTTCTGGTGTGGGACTAAGTAGACCCGTGCAGGGGAAATACACACAGGAAGTAGGCAGTGCTCTGGCTGTGTCTGCCCCGCGACTCCTAGCTGTGGAAGTGGCCTGGCTGCTCTCCCACTGTGAGTCTCCATTTCCTTATTCGGTCAGTGACAGGTCTCACCTCACACGTTTGTTGGAGGGATTTGGCGGAAGCTTCGAGTTAAAGCATTTAGCTGGAGCCTGCTGAGCAGTGGGTGCTCAAAATATAGTAGTCACTGCTACTTTAAAGAAAGAAAAACAAGACTATGGAAAGAACAAGTGTGCTGGAGAAGGAATAGCAGACTTGACTAGTGGGGAGCAACCGGGGATAAGAGCTGAGCGGGGGACAACAGGGCTGTGGGTGAGTTTTAAACAGTAAGCTGTTGGGGCCGGGGATTTAGCTCAGTGGTTCTGGAGCCTGCCTCACAAGCACAAGGTCCCGAGTTGGAGCCCCGGTACCAAAAAAACCCAACAAAAATAGTAAGCTGCTGCTCCAGTGATGCTAAGTGGCACTTAACGGCTTTTCCTGCCTTCCCGCTTGAGCCCTCACTCCATTCTCCTGTTTTCCTAGATAATCCATTTCCTAAGGACAAGGGCCCACCCGGTGATGCTCAAACAGGTACGGACAGGTACCTGGATGCCTGTGTGGCATCCCTTGGCACCTGCCAGCGAGAGGTGGAAAACAGAAAGGAGCCTCCAGATGTGGGGCCTGGGAGCAGGCTGGGTTGTGTGGGGAGGTTTTCCCCGAATCCCTACGGCCACCCTTCCCCTTCAGACTCCTGTGCTGCCCCCAACCATCACCGACCAGATCCGGCTGTGGGAGCTGGAGCGGGACAGACTCCGGTTCACGGAGGGTGAGTGGCTTCTGGCCCTGCTCACTGGCCAGAGGAATGGCCAGCAGTTTTGTCCTGATGACTTGAAAAGGGTTTTTTTGGGGGGGGGGTTGGTACTGGGGATTGAACCCGGGACCTTGTGCCTGCCGCAGGTGGCGGAACCACTGAGCGAAATCCCGGCCCTTTGAAAAGGTTTTTGTGCATTTCATGTTTTGCTTACTGGAATGGAAAGAGAAGCTGCCAAGACACTTTTATTTAGGAGTCGGCGCACTCACAAGTTGTCCCAAATCAGTGCACTTTGGGTTTGCTGGGAGGGGCGGAATGGGAATTTGCTGTCTCCCCGAGTCTGGGGAGCAGCCATGGGCTGAACGGAGGAGTGCCTTTCTGACCATGGCGAGATCAGGAGGGCGAGCCTGAACGGACAAGCTTCGAAGATCCTTGTAGAACTGCCGGGGCCGCGCGGACCCGCTTGGGGGCTGCCCACCGCGGCCTCACCTGCCTGTCCCGCCCGCCTGCAGGCGTCCTGTACAACCAGTTCCTGTCGCAAGTGGACTTCGAGCTGCTGCTGGCCCACGCGCGGGAGCTGGGCGTGCTCGTGTTCGAGAACTCGGCCAAGCGGCTCATGGTGGTGACCCCGGCCGGGCACAGCGACGTCAAGCGCTTCTGGAAGCGGCAGAAGCACAGTTCCTGATCGCTCGGGGCGGGGCCGGGGCGGGGCCCGGGGGGGGGGGGCGGGCCTCACAACTCAGGTGTTTTCATTTATACGCCGGGACACTTTAATAAAGCCGTCGGAATGAGCTTCGCGGCCCGCGGGCGCGCCTCACTGCTTCAGCAACCGGCCGCGAGCTCGCGGGGCGGGGCGGCTGCCGCGCATGCGCCGCGCTGGCCCCGCCCCCACGGCCGCCGGTTCCGGGCTTGTGTTCGTTCCTCCAGCCGCGGGGCACCCTGGGACAGCGGCGGGTCGCGGGGTGAGCGCGCCGGGGCGGCCTCCCGGAGGTGGGAGCCCTTCGCGGTGGGGCTGGCGGGGAGGCGGGCCCGCGCGCGGCCCCAGGCAGCCGCGATTGCCGTGACCCTTGGGGCTCTCAGCGCGCCGAGGACGCTCACGTGCGGGGTCCGAGCCCTCCGCGCCCCGTGTGTCCCGGGGCAGAAGCGCCCGGTCTCTGACCCAAGGCTGCTGGGCTTGTACCACAGCCCCCTGCCCTTCAGCCCTCGAGGAAGGGTGTGCCGGATAGGATGAGACCACCGCTAGCGGGAAGCAGGGAATAAAGGGAGGGCTTTGAAGCTGTGAACCCCTGCACACCCTTGTTCTCCTAATGTGCTGTCTGCCCGGGACAGATCTCGCCCTTTCTCCAAACACTCCGGATGCCTCATTTCCCTCTGGCCACTTTTCTTCGACCGCCACTTTGGGGGCTGAGGCCCTCGCGGAGTCTTCCCAGGCCACGGCGCCTTTCTGCGCAGTCAGAGCCCCATGGATCACCCATCACCAGGAGGAACCGAGAAGCCAAACGGAAGCGCCTGCGGGAGAAGCAGGCGGCGCTGCAGGCTGGAATAGCCGGGGAGAGCGAGGTTGGGGTGGGACAGCTCGGCCCTGGGCCTCTGAGACGAGGAAGGGGGTTGAGAGGCTGAGGTGGGGTCCAAATGGCTGGGTTACCTGGGAAGCGCAAGCCTGCCCCTCTACCCTCCCCCATAGTCACCTGGAGAAACCAGGAAGACCTGGAGTCCCAAGGAGAGAGTAGTATATGGAGTTCCCACGGAGCCTGGCGAAAAGAAAGGTGACCAGGGAACCTGATGCCCATTTGGTCTGCTGAAACGCAGCTGGGAAGACAGATCGGTATTTAGTGGTGCCCTCCTCTGTCCGCAGATGTCTCTGGGGCCCTACCTCTTGCTTACAGCCCCCAGTATGTGGAAGCTGTTTGGTACCAGTGGTGGGTGCGAGAGGGCTTCTTCAGGCCAGAGTATCAGGTTAGTGGAGCTTGGCAGAGGCTGCTAGGTGGTCTCCAGATGGGCACCGCTGAGCAGAGTCAGGCTCGAGGTGCAGCGCTCGGCTTCCTTTGCCTGTGGCCCTGCAGAGGTTTCTCTTGGCGTCCGACCCCGGCCATTTGCTGTTGCTTGCCCAGGACTTCCTTGCGGTTCTGTCTTGGAGGTACCAGAGCGTACTGTTCCCCCAGGCATCTCTTGCCCTTTGACTTTCCTTGTTCCTCCTAGGCACAGCTGCCCCAGGCTACAGGGGAGACTTTTTCCATGTGTATCCCACCTCCCAATGTCACAGGTGCCCTGCACCTCGGCCATGCTCTCACTGTGGCCATCCAGGACGCCCTTGTGCGCTGGTAAGGGCCGTGGGGCTGCTGCAGTTCTTGGAGGGGAGGTAGAAAGCACAGGTAGAAAGCTCACATGAAAGTGTTTCTGTTGTAGGCACCGGATGCGTGGGGATCAAGTGCTGTGGGTCCCTGGCTCGGATCATGCAGGAATTGCTACACAAGTGGGTCTTTCCTCGTGTTCTCCTCTGGTTGGTTGAAAGTATGTTTCTCCCCAGAGGCGACCTGACTCGCTGTTCATTTGCCCCTACTCCGACTGCAGGCTGTGGTAGAGAAACAACTGTGGAAGGAGCGGGGAGTGAGGAGACACGAGCTGAGCCGGGAGGAGTTCCTAAGGGCGGTGTGGCAGTGGAAGGACGCGTGAGTATGCAGGCAGGCAGCAGGGCCGCCCAAGGATGGCTGCTGGGTCTGCGCACCCACTACTTCCGCTCCTGGCTTTTGCCTCAGTCCTTTCCATCCGGCCCTTACCTGAGATGGGAGCTCTGGAACTCCTTGGTATTTGGTGGGGTCTCCACGTATTTTTTAATTCTTTGTTTTTGTTTGGTACCGGGGATAGAACTCGGGACCTTGCACTTGCAAGGGAGGCAGCGGAGCCACTGAGCTAAGTCCCTGGCCCCCTTTATTTTTTTATTAGTACATGTTTGGAGTAGATAATGATACCTTCCTCGTGGAGAGCTGGTCCATGTGCATAACAAATCTTAATTCTTTTTATCATCACCTTATCCCTTTTTCTCTGTCTTGGTTCCCTTCCACTTTGCAAAAGATCTATAACCTTTTTCCTTTTATCTGTCTTTTATTTTGTTCTTTATGTATGTTTTTTGTTTTAGTCTCAATTTCAGTAATTTCTGCTCTGATCTTTATAATTTCAGTCATTGTACTAGCTTTGAATTTGGATTATTCTTGTTGTTCTAGGACCTTAAGATGTGGTACATCATTAGATTGTTTATTTGGGCTCACTGTATTTTTCTGATGTTGGCATTCACAGCTGTAAATGTCCCTTTTAGGACTGCTTTCATTGTGTCCCATAGGTTCTGGTATGTTGTACTGGCATTATTGTTTGATTGTAGGAACTAATTTCTTGCACGATTTCTTCTGTGACCCACTGATTGTTTAAGAGTGTATTATTTGTTTAATTCCCATATGTCTACATAATTTCTGTGGGTTTTTGCCTATTGATTTCTTAGTTTCACTGCACTGTGCATATTATCAAATGTGCATGGGGTAACCTTGGTTCTTTTACACTAGCTTAAGCATGCTCCATGGGCAGTATGTGGTCTGTTTTGGATACTGTCCCATGTGCTGCCGAGAAGAATGTGTATTCTGTTGTTGGGTGGAACAGTCTAAGATATCTATTAAGTCCATTTGTTCCAAGGTTTGGTTCAACTCTTATTTTCCTTTGTTGATTTTTTTAATCTAGCTGATCTATTTCTGCCAGTGTGGTATTAAGGTCACCCACTATAATTGTGTTGTTTATCTGATCTTTTACATTCTGTAGTGTTTGTTTTATGAAGTTGGGTGTGCCAGTATTCAGTGCATATATGTTTTTAATTGTTATCTTTTCCTGTTGGATTGTTCCCTTAAGCAATATATAGTGACCTTTGCCTCTTCTGATCAGTTTTGGCTTGAAGTCCACTTTGTCTGAAAATAGAGTAGCTATTCCTACTTGTGTTTGGGTTCCTGTTGCATTGATTTTTTTCTTTGAATTTCTTTTTGGGTTAAATGTGTTTCTTGTATACATCATACCAATGGATTTTTTTTCTTGATCCATTGTGCCAGTCTGTGTCTTTGGGGAACTAGGACCATTCACATTGAGAGTTATTACTGAAAGGTATTGAAACATTCCTTTCACTGAATTACTTTCCTGTTGCAGATTCCCTTTTCCCCCGTCTGTTAACTGCTCACCCTCCCTAGTGCATTCATTCTATTAGTCCTTTTGGCATTGTTACCTTCATTATCTCTTTCTCGAATATTGAAAATTCTTTGGAGTGGTGGTTTGGTGATTCTGAGTTTCTTAAGGTGCTGTTTGTCGTAGAACAACCTTATTTCTTCCATCACTTTTGAGAGATAGTTTTGCAGGATTTATCAGTGTGGGTTGGAAGGTGTTTTTTTTTTGTTTTTTTTTAAGAGCTTGAAATATTTCAGTCTCTTCTAGCCTTTAAGGTATGTGTTGAGAAGTCTGCTGTAATTCTAAGGGTTTACCTTTACGGCTAATTTGTTGCTTTTCTTGAACAGCTTGTGTTGGACTTCTGGGATTTTGGCCATCATGTGTCTTGGAGAGGTTCTTTTCTGATCATGGCTATTTGGAATTTTACATGCCTCACTGCTCTGTCTGTCTAATTCTTTCCCTATATTTGGAAAGTTTTCTGCTGTTACTCCTGTAAACAGTCTTTTGATAATTTGTGCTGTCTTCTCATTTTCACTAATTCCAGTCCATCTTAGGTTAGTCTTTGAGTCATCTAGCAGCTGTTGGACCCATTTTTCATATTCTCTTGGTTTTAAAGTTTCTCTGAGTAATGATCACCTTAGTCACATCAGCCTTATCTTCTAGTTCTGCCACTCTGTCCGACGTTGCTCATTTTTCTTTTTTGGTACCGGGGATTGAACTTGCAACCTTGTGCTTCTGAGGCCGACAAGCGGCACTGCTGAGCTACATCCCCGACCCCTGACATTGCTCATTTTTGCTGCCCATACTTTGAATAGAAGTTTTATCTCCCAGATTTCTGATACCTGTTAATTGACTAATTTTTTTCTAAATTGGTCATTTTTAAAAAATCATTTTGTTTAGCTCATCAGGCTTTTTAATGGGGTCTTCTGTAAACTTGCTAATTGTTTTATTATATCTGTTATCTATTTAGTTAATTGGAAAAATTAATCAATGGAAGATGAGACAGAGAAACAAAGTGAGATGAAGGATCCTCTTAAGAAGTAAAAGGAGGGGCTGGAGATGTGGCTCAGCAGCACAGCGCCTGCCTGGCAAGCACAAGGTGCTGAGTTCAATCCCTGGTACCAAAAAAAAAAAGAAGTAAAAGGAAATTAAAAGAATTAGATAAAAGCGACAGGAAAGAACAAACAGGAAAAAGAAGGGAAAAAACAGAGGAAATTAAGGGCAAAATGAAATATTGGAAAAGAATTTAAAAAGGGGGAAAAAACCCCAATCCCCTAAAAAAAGTAATAAAACATTTTTTAATTGAGTGCAATAAAAACAATTCCTCTGTATATTTGAATGAGTGAGGTTTTTTTCTAGGATCTGCAGTCCTGAAATCCAGCCAGCTCATGGTTTTCTCTACCTAGCTTTATGGTTTGTAGCTTTGTTCTCCTCCCAGTCCACCGGTCCGTTCACCCCAGACTGTGGCAGCTGTCTGTTGAAGTGTGTCCTTGCCACGGGGGCAGAAGGGGAGGCAGTCACACCCTGTCCGTGCTGTTCTCAGTGGGGCAGCGGCCCAAGCCGACCACTGCCCTGAGGGCCAGCATGTTTGGGCCCAGCACAGCCGCACTGCCAGGCCTGGCTTCTCACTGTGGAAGACCTGGCCTCGTGCTGTCCTGGCCTGAGCGTGACCTTCTCAGGGGTCTCTGTATCTTGCCTGCACCCTCTCTCTGGCTGTCTCACCTAGTCACTGTGATGGGGTGACATTGCAGTTGGAATGAAGTTCGGTCCTGAACAACCCCTTCCTGCAGTGGCTCCTGATTAAACCCTCCCCAGCCTGGTGGGTGCTGCACTGAATTCCTCTTCAACTCTCGCCCACTGTGAAGGAGTTGCTTTCGGAGTAAAACCCCACAGTTTTCAGTTTACAGTGGCTGTGGGCTTTCCTGGGGGTAGTGCTGCTGGCCTTGCTTTGTTTCTCCCTGGTGTGCCAAGCCTGTGGCACTTGCCACTTCTGGGGCATTGTCCTCACCTGCAGTCAGGTCGTTGGGTCGTTGGCCCCTCTGCTGCCCCGTGCTGAGGGGGAACAAAATGCAGTGCGGGCCCAGAGTTGGCAGGTGGCCAGGGCGCAGAATGCATGGGTCACAGAATTGGCTGTTGCACGTGTGGCTTCTACCCTCTAAGGTCTGTGCATAGGAATGTCCTACATGGACATTAGAATGTACGTGTTTATGTGTGTGTAGATGTATGTGCATGCCAGGTGTGGTGGTGTACACCTGTAATCCCACCACTTGGGAGGCTGAGGCAGGAGGGGCTACAAAGTTGGCTCAAGGCCAGTCTGAACCACATAGTGAGACCTTGTCTCAAAAAACAGAAGCAGGCCGGGGTTTTAGCTCAGTGATGCCGCCACCTACCTCACAAGCATAAGGTCCCAAGTTCAATCCCCGGTACCAGAAAAACCCAAAAAACAAAAAAAGATTTGTGTGCACGTGTACGTGTGTGTATGTATTTTTTTCTTTCCTCATCTCATTTTCCTTGCTGAGATTTCATCCTCTTGCCACCAAACCATTCCTTTCCTCCAGGTGCCATAAAGTCACCCTCACTGTTCCAGGTCTCTTCCCGCATGCCGTCTTCTCTATGCAGCTTTCTTGGAACCCCCAAGTGGCTGCCCCTCTGTTCCTGCAGAGCCTCGTGCTTCTCCTGTTGTCACAGAAAGCCCCGACTGTCTGCCCATCGCTTTTAGAAGCAGGACCGGTGCCGTGTGCCTTTGTTTTCCTCCAGCACGTGGCACGGTGGGGCATCACTGGGACTGGGATATGGGAGGCGCTTGGCCCCCTTTTGGTGACCAGAATCCCTGTGGGTGCAGGAAAGGAGGAGAGATTTGTGAGCAGCTTCGCGCGCTGGGCTGCTCCCTGGACTGGGGCCGAGAGTGTTTTACCATGGATGTGGTGAGTGTTCCGTGCCGGGCCCGAGGGTGCTGCTGTTGGGCCTGTAGGGCAGGGGGAGTGGTGGGGTCCTCAAGCGGGCAGGGCGTGGCTGAGAAGGGCTGGTAGAGGGGACACTCAAGTGCCTCTAGGGCTCCTCAGTGGCTGTGACTGAAGCTTTTGTGCGACTCTACAACGAGGGACTGCTGTACCGGAGCCGCCAGCTTGTCAGCTGGTCGTGTGCTTTAAGATCAGCCATCTCGGATGTTGAGGTGAGGCGGGAAAGGGGGCTGGTGAGGGCCCTGAGGCCGGGCAGCCCGCGGTTAGGCTCAGGCTCTGCAGCCAGACTGGCTGGATTCTGGGCGGAGTGCCGTCGCTCCCAGCCGTTGACTCCCAGGGCTGCGGAGCCCCGGCGCCCTCGGCCTGTCAGCCAGAGATGACGGGACGCCTGCCTGGAGTGTGGGCGCAGGGAAATGTGAGGAAGTGTGCTCAGCACAGCACCCTGGCCGTGGCTCACGTGCGCGTGGATATTCACTGTCACTGACTGCGTGGCTCGGGTGAGGGGCGGGGCTGGCTCCCGAGTCCTCTGAACGGGGCTTGGGGGGACCGGAGCGAGGCCCGGCTGGGAACATAGGTGGCAGTGGGAGCCCTGGCGTGAGCTCCCCGAGCGGCTGCCCTGACCGCCTCGTGGCCCCACAGGTGCAGAGCCGGCCCCTGGCTGGGCGCACAGAGCTCCAGCCGCCAGGCTGCCCCAGCCCTGTGTCTTTTGGGCTCCTCATTTCTGTCGCCTTTCCGGTGGACGGAGAGCCGGGTGAGTGCAGTCCTCGGAGGGTCATGCGCTGGCCTCCTCTCCTGTGATCCCAGGCCGTGGCAGGCACCTTGGTGTGTGCGTCAGGTGGCTGAGCCCTGGGGAGCTTGGTGTAATTCTAGTCTCCCCCGCCCAGGGAAGAGGCAGATCAGCCAGTTCTCAAGTGTGGCTTATAGGCGTTGCACAGAGTTCAGAGGAGGGGAGAGACGGGCAGGACATCCCGGGAGTCTTGTGTAGTGGAGGCTGGTGCCAGCCCTGTGGGGTGCAGAGAGACCTGTGCTGAGGCCCGAGAGCCCTGGCTGCTCTGGGCACGCGCAGCGTCCTGGCTTCCCTTGCACAGTCCTAGGTCCTGTCCTCTGCAGGCTGCCGAGTCGCCCTCCCAGGCCTCTGGTCATTCCCCATGAGAAGCCCTGGCCCTCAGTGCAGCTCCTAGCTTCCCCACTCACTGCTCCACCTCGACTGCTCCCTGCCCTTCCCGCTTCCGGTTCTCCTGGCTTTTTCGGTGGGGGCGAGGTGATGACCAGCTGTGGATGCTCCAATGTTTGTTTTCAGATGCGGAAGTCGTGGTGGGAACCACGAGGCCGGAGACTTTGCCTGGAGACGTGGCGGTGGCCGTTCACCCCGATGACCCCCGATACTCGGTAGTTAACACAGGGTGCTGCATGTACCCCGGTCCTCAGCCCTGTGGCCCACTCTTCCTTCCTTGTAAGATTCTCGTTCCTTCTCTCTGGCTCCTGCTTCATTTTATAAAACTTCTCTCAGTCTGGCTGTGCAGTGGTTTTTAACTCTATTCCCTTCTTTCTCTCAGTCTTGTTTTGAGGCGGAGTCTGGCTCTGTCTTCTAGGCTGGCTTTGACCTCACTCTGCAGCCCAGGCTGGCCTTGAACTCGCTGCCATCTGAGGGCTAGGATTACAGGCAGTGCCACTGTGCCTGGTCGCACTTTTCTTCTTCATGTTACACTTTGTCTGATTCAGTGGTTGACCAGCTGTGGCCCCTGGGCCAGATCCAGGCAGCCCTGCTTCTGTGTGAGCCACACTCGCATGTTCACGTGTCCGCTAGGGCTGCTGTGATCGTATGTTCTCTGAGTGTCACAATGGCAGCTAAGCTAAGCTAGTTGTGCAGACTGAATTTGCCGGTTGGCCCAAAGCCTGGGCTGTTCACCCTCTGGCCTCTGGACAGAGACTCGGCTCCCTTTCCTCTTGCTCTCTGCCTTCTGGTTTCCACTCTGCTGTCCTGGGGCCCCCGTACCCCCGAACCTCCCCGAGCCCTGTCCTTCCCTTCAGCATCTCCATGGGCGGCAGCTGCGTCACCCCTTGACAGGGCAGCTTCTGCCCCTCATCACGGACACTGCTGTGCAGCCGCACGAGGGCACAGGTGAGTGGTCTGGAGAGGAAGGAAGAGGGGGCAGCAGCCGGCAGAGAGGCGGGCGGTGGGGCGCTCGTGCAGCAGAAAGCGAAGGCAGGGCCGCACCCACCGCCCTTGTACCACAGGCGCAGTGAAGGTGACTCCAGCTCACAGTCCCGCGGATGCCGAGATGGGAGCCCGGCACGGCCTGAGCCCCCTCAGTGTCATTGAGGAGGACGGGACCATGGCGTCGCCTTGCGGGGACTGGCTGCAGGTGGGGCCAGCCGCGGGTCACCCTGTCCTCAGAGGCAGCCCTGCCCGCCCGCCACGCTCTCCTGTTTCTCTGGAGGCCCTTAGCGTCCTCTCACTCCTCCCACAGGGCATTCACCGGTTTGTGGCCCGGGAGAAGATTGTGTTGGCCCTGAGGGAGCAGGGCCTGTTGCGGGGCCTCCAGGACCACCCCATGGTGCTGCCCGTCTGCAGGTAGCCCTGTTTTAACTTCTCTACTGAGGCCTACCCTGAAAGGGAGAGGGTGGGCTTGCCGGCCCCCCTGGCCCCCATCTGAACGCAGGCTCTGTCAGTTGGGTTGCTGCTGGGCCCGGGTGCCGAGGGTGTGGCGGACTCACCGGGCTGCCTTTCAGCCGCTCTGGGGACGTGGTTGAGTACCTGCTGAAGAGCCAGTGGTTCGTCCGCTGCCAGGAGATGGGGGACCGAGCTGCCCAGGTGAGGCCTCATGCGGGGGCCTGGGCCTGGGATGGCGGAGGCCCAAGGCTCGGGATGCGGAAGAGACCCCAACCCCCTTGGCCGGGGCGGCGGAGGGTGCGCTGTGTGGGTGGGGAGTGGCCCAGGGGGGCGGCTGGACCTCGGGCAACCCCGGGTCCTCTTGGGATGCTTCCGAGGTCCTTTCTGGGCTTCTGACCACCTCCGAGCCCCCTCGTCTGGGCCTGGAGGTGCAGGCACGGGAGCGCTGGCTGCAGCCCCTTTCCCTGCAGGCCGTGGTGTCGGGTGCCCTGGAGCTCTGCCCCTCCTCCCACCAGAAGAGCTGGCAGCACTGGTTTGCCCACATCGGGTAAGGGAGAGGCAGCGCCTGCGACGTGGGTGGGTCCTGCCAGGTGCCCAGCCCTCACTCACGTCTCCGTCTCCGGGCAGGGACTGGTGCATCTCTCGGCAGCTGTGGTGGGGCCATCAGATTCCAGCCTACCTGGTGGTCGGGGAGCCCTCGGAGGTCAGTGGCCGGAGACTGGGTGTGGCAGGAGTCGGAGGGTGGCAGGGCCTGTCCCGCTTCTGCCCAGCAGCCTGGGCCCCATTGCCTGCGGGTGGCCGGGCGTCTTCCTTTGTTCCAGAGGGGCCGGTCCCTGAGGCCGCAGGAGAACGTGAGAGCGGAGAGCAGTGTCGCGCCTGCTGCTGTGCTTCCCCTCAGCCCCGCTCTGCATCTTGCAGGGTGACGGGGAGGAGTGCTGGGTGGTCGGGCGGTCGGAGGCTGAGGCCAGACAGGCGGCAGCAGCACTGACCGGAAAGCCAGGCGCCGAGCTGACCCTGGAGAGGGGTGCGTGCGAAGCAGCAGGGCGGGTGGCGGCCTTTGAGGGGAGCAGTTACTCGGTGGGGACGGTGGGCTCAGGGACCCAGAGCGGAGCAGGGCCGAGCCCTCAGGTCAGGCAGGGTTGGCCCAGAGCCTGTGCAGACGCGGAGGTTTGGCTGCTCTTTCCCAGATGCTGACGTCCTGGACACGTGGTTCTCCTCGGCTCTTTTCCCCTTCTCCGCCCTGGGCTGGCCTCGAGAGGTGAGGAGGCTGGGAGGGCCAGCGGCCAACCGAGGCGCAGAGGGAGCCCTTACGGCCCGTCTTTCTCGCAGACCTCCGACCTGGCCCGTTTCTACCCCCTGTCGCTCCTGGAGACGGGCAGTGACCTCCTGCTGTTCTGGGTGGGCCGCATGGTCATGCTGGGCACCCAGCTCACGGGCCAGCTCCCCTTCAGCAAGGTAACGGCCTTCCGTGTCCCCAGGCCCTGGTGCGGCACTGTCTGTGCTCCCTTTTCCTGGTTCACTTCCTCCCTGCTGGCCCTCCACTCTCCAGGTGCTCCTTCACTCCATGGTTCGGGACGGGCAAGGGCGGAAGATGAGCAAGTCCCTGGGGAACGTGCTGGACCCGAGGGACGTCATCCATGGGGTGGAGCTGCAGGTGCAGATGCAGGGCGGGCTCCAGGCGGGCCAGTCTGGGAGGCAGAGGGTAAGGGACGGGGCGACCCTTGCAGGGCAGGCCTGTAGCCCGGCCGGTGACTTCCTCACCCCCCAGGAGCTGCAGGCAAAGCTGACCACCGGGAACCTGGACCCCGCGGAGCTGGCCATTGCGGCTGCAGCACAGGTGAGTCTGCGGCCCCCGTCTGGGCCTCCAGCTCTCAGCCTCCGCTTTCCCCTGAAGGCCAGGCCTCTGGTCCTGCAGCCGTGTAGGCATCTGCCCCTTCCTCCACGGCTGCAGAAAAAGAACTTTCCTCACGGGATCCCTGAGTGCGGGACAGATGCCCTGAGATTCGCACTGTGCTCCCACGGAGCGCAGGGTAAGCTGTGGAGCAGAGGGCAGTGGCGCCAGAGTGGAAGGTGGCGGGATTCCCGGCTCCTGCCGCCCGTGTGCACACTCCCGCTTCTCCTGCAGGGCGCGACCTGCACCTGTCTGTCCCTGAGGTCCTGGGCTGCCGTCGTTTCTGCAACAAGATCTGGAATGCCCTGCGCTTTATCCTCAGAGCCCTGGGGGAGGGTTTTGTCCCCCATCCGTCAGAGGAGGTGAGAGAGGCAGCAGCGGTACCGGGAGTGGTGTGGTCGCATGTCCAAGGGTGGGGGCAGGAGGCAGGCGAGCAGGGCCGAGCCATGTGGGGCTGGCCCTCTGCCCGCAGCTGTGCCCCTCCTCGCCGGTGGACGCCTGGATCCTGAGCCGCCTGGCCCTGGCTGCCCAAGAGTGTGAGCGTGGCTTCGTCACCCAGGAGCTCTCGCTGGTCACCCACACCCTGCACCACTTCTGGCTGCACAGCCTCTGCGACATCTACCTGGTGAGTGGCCGGGTGCAGCTTGGCATTTCCCGCCTGTGGCCTGTTTTCCGTTTCCCGGAAGTCGATCCAAGCCCGAGAGCTCTGGAGTTAGCGCCTTCCTAGTTGTCCCCTCAGTTGGGCAGGGAAAGCATGGGGAGTCCTGGTCCCCTCTTCCCAGGCCCTGCTGCCTGTCTGTCCCTGGCCAGAGGAGGGGGCAACTTCCTGGAAAGAAGCAGGCTTCGACGCAGGGAGCGTTTCAGTCCCCACCGTTGCCGGGAGGCCTTGGGCAGGTGGACCCTGGGGACCCTGAGGGCAGCGTGGCGGGCTGCAGACTCGGGGTCCTCATGCGGGGATCAGCCTGCTGCGGGGCTTGTGGACCACATGTGACCCAGCTGTTTCCAGCACGGCTCTTCCTGTGACGGGTGTGGAGGGTGACGTCCGTTTCCTGTCCCCGGCTGCTGCTGCTGGCTGATGCCCCTGCTCGCTGTTTCTCAGTTCTCTTGAAGCTTTTGTCCCTTGCGATAAGCAAAACACTGATTTGTCCCCTAAACCGCACGTCTGCCTGGGATGTCCTTCTCACCCCCTCTGAGAATTGCTGCCCTGGATCTCCCCATTTTCCTGTTCATGTGCCCCATGTCCCGGGACAGCCGGTGGCCCACACATGCCAGGTGCTTTGTCCCTGTCCTGGAACTGGCCCACCGCGCTCCCCACGGCTGGGACAGTGGCTGGAAGGCGGTCGCCATGGGCCCTGCGTCCTGACCCTTGGTGCTCCCCACAGGAGGCTGTGAAGCCGGCGCTGGCCCGTGTGCCTTGCCCACAAGGGCCGCCTCAGGTCCTCTTCTCCTGCGCGGACATCGGGCTCCGCCTCCTCGCCCCGGTGATGCCCTTCCTGGCCGAAGAGCTCTGGCAGAGGCTGCCCCGCAGGCCCGGTGGGCCCCCTGCCCCCAGCGTCTGTGTCGCCCCCTACCCCAGTGCCCGCAGCCTGGTGAGTCGTGGATGTGGGACTTGGATGGGGATCTGGGGAGGCTCCGGACCAGGGCTCGCTGCTGTGGGTTGTGTTGTGTGGTTTGCAGCTGGCTGGAGCCTCTGGGGAGATGGCTTGTTCTGCAGGACCGCGGGGGACCAAGGGTCAGGGCAGAGCTGGGCCCTTGCTGTCAGACTGGTATTCCCAGCCACACGACTGTGACTCAGTTTCCCCGTCATATTAGTAAATGTCACAGTGCTGAAGGTTAGATGACTTAGTATCAAGGTGTTCCCCCAAGCCTCAGGGCAGCTTTCATAACCCTAGAAAGATAAATGTTACAAATTCATCCAAAAGTTGTTTTAAAGTCTAAGTTTCCTTCACATTTAGTTTTGTGAATTTTGAGTAGTGTTTTTTTTTTTTTTTTTGGTACCAGGAATCAAACTCGGGACCTTGTGCTTGCGAGGCAGGCACCGGAACCACTGAGCTAAATCCCCGGCCCTTTGAGTAGTGTTTTAAATTCTAATTTGGTTTTAGTTCTTGGTCACCATCAGTCAGAGTCACTAAACAGACAGGAGCTGGTGGTCGCCCCAGGCCTTCTTAGCTGGAGGTGGAGCATTTTGTGTGCTGTTGAGGGCAGATCTGTTGTCCTGGGACCCGAGGCTGGATGGGCCAGGGACAGAGCCAGGAGAGCTGATGCAGGGTCCCCGGGATCCCCTTTCCAACTTCCAGTCCCCCTTGGCAGGAGCACTGGCGCCAGCCTGAGCTGGAGTGGGGCTTCTGCCGGGTCCAGGAGGCTGTGCAGGTGCTGCGGGCTCTCCGAGCCACCTACCAGCTCACCAGAGCCCGGCCCCGAGGTGAGGGGGTCCTGGGCCCCCGGGTGTCTGCAGGAGGAAGGGGCTGGTGGGCAAGGGGACGACCTGGAGGGCAGAGCCAGGGCAGGGGTGCAGGATGGCAATGAGGCGGGAACTGATGCCTGGGCCCTGGCCTGCCCTCCCCGCTCCCCCAGTGCTGCTGCAGAGCTCGGAGCCAGAGGAGCAGGGCCTCTTCCAGGCCTTTCTGGAGCCCCTGGGCGCCCTGGGCCACTGCGGGGCTGTGGGCCTCCTGCTCCCAGGCACAGCAGCTCCCTCTGGCTGGGCCCAGGCCTCTGTCAGTGACACCATTCGGGTCTACATGGAGATACAGGTGACCAGGAGGGATTGGAGGGACTGGGGAGAGTGCTGGGCAGGGGGGAAGGGCTGGAGAGGGGCCTTCGGGTGGGATGAGTGGAGGCCTGGGGATGTCTTAGCTTTCTCTCTGTTTTCCTCAGGGCCTGGTAGACCCCCAGGCCCAGCTACCTCTGCTGGCTGCCCGAAGGCAGAAGTTGCAGAAGCAGCTTGATGGCCTCGCAGCCCAGACTCCATCAGAAGGGGAGGCAGAGACACAGAGGCAGCAAAGGGTGAGGCTCAGGAGGCCGCGAGGGAAGACCTGGATCCTGAGGGAGTGTGGGCCGGCCTGTGGGCTCAGACCTGTATGCTCACCGTGTTGTCTCCTCACCCAGCTATCCTCCCTCCAGCTGGAATTATCAAAGCTGGATCAGGCGGCCTCTCACCTCCGGCAGCTGATGGATGATGCTCCCAGCCCCGGGGAGCGCTGAGCTCTTAGCTCGACCTGTCTGTGAGGACAGTGAGTGTGCACTGTCTGGGTGCGACGAGAGCTCAGAATGCTCAGGAGTGCAGTCCACCGCCTTGTTTGGTAGGCGAGGAAGCACTAGGATGGTCACTGGTGGTGTGGCCGCGAGATGCGCATGTTGTCTCCCGCCACCTCCTGTGCAGTCCCATCTGGAAGTTTGGGAATGAGGAGATTCAGATAAACTTAAGAACCCAAGCATATCTGCCTGTGGCCATTTATTTATTTATTTATTTTTGTTGTTGGTACCTGGGATCGAACTCAGGACCTTGCGCCTGCGAGGCAGGCAGCAGCACTGCAGAGCTAAATCCCCAGCCCTGTGGTCTTTTGTGCTGCTTTTTCGTCAGTGGTGACTTTCTTGTCTCTGCATTGTTCTGGGAGGGCCTGGTCTGGGGAAAGAGGAAGGCGGCCTCTCAGCTTCAGGCTCTGGGCCACGGGCAGTGCAGGTGCTGGGCTGTGCCTGCCTCACACTTTTGAGTGGTGGGACAGCCAGGAGCTGCCATTTCCACCTGCTTCCCAGACTTGCAGTGCCCTGGCAGCTCAAGCCCTTCCTCTTCCTCACCAGATGCAAGGCTCTCTGCTCCTTCACCTACCCCTAGAGATGCTGAGAAAGGGCTGCAGGCCGTGCTGAGAATTGTGTGTGCCTCTGTGACCTGAGGCCCAAGCACTAGAGGTGCACCCTGGCCCTGAGTTACATGTGATGCACGGCTACCGAGCCCCAAACCCCTCCTCGCATCTCGGTGGCATGCAGGACCTTGGTCCTTTGAGCAGATGTGACTGCTTATGGTGAGCTTGTCCTCACTTGTCCTCCATCCTCGGTCAGATGTGCAAGGCCAGGTAATCCTACAGAGCCTCACAAAGTGAGTTGCCCTGTTTTGGAGATGAAGAAATGTGCCCAGAGAATGGAAGTAACTGTCCAAGCCCTCACTGGGGAGTTAACCTAGTAACTGACTTAGGTCCTTTCTGGCTGTTGTAAGCAAACTTTGTAGTAATAGTGGCTTCGACAAGGAGGCTCTTTCTGTTGCTGGGCATGAACAGTAATAGGCTGTGTGGCAGTGGGGCCCTACATCTTTTAACATGTTCACAGTGGGCCATAATTCATATGTCTCACTGCCAGGCAGCTCTGGTTTAAATGTGTTCTGTTCACCCTGACTTGAACCACTAGTGGTACACGCATGACTGTCCCATCAGGCAACATGGGACTGTTTCATTGGGTGGTTCAAGCCAGCAGGATGCGTTAATTTTTCCTTCCAATCTGATGTACTTCCCGACTTCAGGTCCAATACCTGCTCCAGTCTCCACCACCGGGTCTGCGTTTTTATCCACAGGGAAGAAGATAAGGGGCTGGGAGGTTTCCTGCCTCTTTTCCCTGGGTTCATTGAGTTTTTCTTGAGCACCTACTCTGTGCTGGTCCTACTCTGGACACTTGGATTCATCAGTGATGGAAACAAAGATCTCTGCCCTTGTTCTTTCATCCCACCAGAGGCAGTTAGAACAGACCAATGCACGCAAGTAAGTAAGTTACATAGTGTGTTTGAAAGTCATAAATGGGCAAGGTAAGGGGACCTGTGTGTGTGTGTTGGGTAGGTTATAATTTTATAATTTTACTGGGGGTCTGTAGATCCTGTAAAGTGAGATTTGAGCAAAGACCTGTGGGAGGTGCAGGAATTAGCTATATGGTTGCTGGGGTGAAAACTATTCCAGATAAAGTGAAAAGCCAGAGGAACACTAAGATGGGGGCATTCCCAGGATGCTCAGAGCAGCAAGGAGGCCACTGCACAGGGCAGAGAAAATGAAGGGGAGTCCTGGGAGGTGAAGTCAGAGAGCTGGGGATGCGGTGGGGAAGAGGGAAAGCTCAAGGGGGACCTTTGGGGCTGTGCTAGTTGACTACTTAAAGCAGTTAAAATGAAATAGCGGGAAACATTCAGTTCCTCAGCTACACTGGCCAAATTTCAAGTGTTGACAGCCCCACGTGGGTAGTGGCTACCACATTAGCCAGCGCAGTTATAAAAATTGCTATCGTCACAGAAATTCTATTGGAAAGTGTTGATTTAAGACCGTGTGGGCTGTTTTAAGAACTGGATCATTTCCCTCTGAAGTGGGAGGGAATCCTTTCCATTCAAGGATTATCACCTGGAAATTTACACTTCCTTTCTACATCCTGTGGGACAGAGCCTATTCACATGTCCACACCTAGCTGCAAGGGAGCCGGGAAATATAACATGATGAGCTGTAAGCCCAGCTGAAATGCTCATGACTATCCAAAAGGAAGAGAATGGCTGTTGGGGGTTGGTTAGCCCTTCTGCCACCCTCAGCTCTTGTGATACTCTCAGCTTTTCTCTTCACTGCACTGCTGTATCTTGGGTCAGGGAAAATAATTTTTGGAGCATAGTCTGGAAACCACACTCTGCGGATCACAAGTCCTAAGATCTAGGGACCAGGCTGAGGAGCAGTTTGTTTTCTGCTTCTCCAGCCTTTTGGGGATTCAGATATCCAGTCCCCCAATTTGTCTGGGGCAAATTGTGACCTGACCTATGGAGGTCACCTGCCCACTAGTGCAGGCGAGGGAGGGACAAGTCATGAAATACTGGTTCCCTTTGGAGCCTTCTGACTACCTCCTTAGGCTGAATGTCCCAGGACAATTGTAAAGGAAAGTAGATGAACTGTTTTTGTCCCCTTCCCACTTTCTGTGCCCCCTCATCTTCAGGGATGAACTCTGCTCTTCCCATGGGGAGTCGGGCTTTGCTGTCTGGTGGTGGTGGTTGGATGGGGATGGTGGACTGGGGTGGGGGCTGGGGAGGACAGAGCAATCATCTTAATTCCCCCACGTGGCCAGGGCATCAGGGTTTTTTTTTGAGACTAGAACTTAGGCATCAGGATGGGTTTCCACCCTCAGGGCTGCCTCCCTGTATGACAGGCTTTGTGGTTTGTCCCCAGGAAGCTTGGCCCTAGACCCTCACAACAGTCCCCCACACAGGCACTGTTGTTGTCTGTTCTGCGGATGAGGGCATAGAGGCTTGGGGAGGATGAAACTCACCCACTCAGACTCAGCCTGTGTAACCACATTCATGTCACCAGCTGCCACAAGCTCAGCTGCTGCCCTCTCTCTACCACTTGGACCAGGCTGGGCACCTCTCATCCCTGAACCCCTTGCTGTGCCCCTGAGTTGTCCCCATCCCACTTCCCACCCCGACTGCTGGTGTGAATCCCTGGTTGGGGGACTGTCCTGGGGGTGTCTCTTCCAGCGGCATCCCTGTCTGGAGTCCCTGAGCCCCTAGCCCCAAGCTTAAGTCAAGAAGGATGAAATTAAACCTTGGTAAACCAAGGCACATGCCTAGGGCCTGATCTGCGTTGCTGTTGGACTCAGGCCAAAGCTTTGATTTCCTCATCTGTAGAATGGGACAAGGGTACCTATCCTGCTGCATTCAGGATCACCCTAGGCACCAGGGCAGGGCAGCAGCAGTCCTGGAACAAAGGAGGAATTTGATAACTTACTTTCCTTCATTCCAGGGTTAGGGCCAGGGATTTAGCTCTGATTCTTCAGGTGAAAGTCTGTTCGTGTGTGTGTGTGTGTGTGTGTGTGTGTGTTTGTGTTCCCAAGCAGTTAATCAAATCCCCAGCCTCCCGCTGTGGTGTGGGACCAGGCCCTCCTTGGTGCTGGCCAGTCCAGTCGGGGACTTGGGGAGCCCTCTCGCTTTTCCTGCTGGCTCTGTGCTCGGGGACCCGAGTCAGCTGCTGACGAGCACATTTATTGGCAGGCAGCAGGCCTGGTGAAGGTGGGTTGAGCATGGCCCACAGCAGCTTCAGGCTTTGCAGATGAGGTGGTGTCGGGGTCCCTTATGATGGAGGGTGACATTGGTCCCTGACGGGAGGCAGAGGAGGAGACAGAGCTGGGGAGCAGAAAGGGACAGAAGGTGAGGCATAGGAAGGCTCCTCCTTCTGGCCCCTGGAGACAGCCAAAACCCCTTGAATCAGCAAGACCCAGGTGACTCAGAAACAGCCCGCCTGCCCCTCCGGAGAACTACCTTTCTGAGCAATTCCAGGAGGCTGGAGTCGTGGGAGACGCTGGCCTGAGAAGCCTCCTTCAGCTTGACTTTCAGAGTCACACTTGGCCCTGGGGGTCCAAAAGTGCAGCTCAGGACCCTCGGGGGACCCAGGTGCCCTGCTGCCCTCAGCTCTCTATGCAGGGGTTCAGCACAAGTCCTCCAGGTCAGGCCTCACACCTCCGCCACCCTTCCTCGGCCCAGGGCTGCTCCAGTGCTCACCTGTTCCTCTCGAGCTGCCAAGGAGGGCCAGGAGGAAGAAGAGCAGCAGCTGGGATCCCATGGTCGCCCCAAGGTCTCTGGTGGGAAGAGGTGTCTGAAGTCTCCTGGCGCCAGTGTTCGGGCACCGGACGTCCTGGTTCTCCCTCCAAGGAGAGGGCTTTGATGGGCGCTTGGAGCAAGTGGAGGGAGGGCCCCTTTCTTCAGCTCTGTGCCCCACCCAGGCCCAGGTCTGCGGGCTTGGGGGAGGGTTGGTGCCTGGGCCTACGAAGAGGGGAAGGGAGAACGGAGGGGACCAGGGAAGTGGCCTGCAGGTGCCTGGGCCCCGCCCAAGCCTGGGCTTCTCAGTGCTCTTAGGAATTAATTATTAACTATATTAATTGTCATTCCTGCCACCAAAGGGTTCAGGAATGTGGGTCCAACAGGGAGGGGTGGATTAGGCCAAATTTCACTTAAGTCCGTGTCCTGCTCCCTCAGTCCTGGTGACTTTCTAGGTGAGAAACCTAGCAAAAGAAACATTCACCTTTGAAAGTTCAGTTGCTCTAATACACCCTAGATTCTGGGTGGACACCCCCACCCCTTCACACCCATCTAAGGCAACACTGGGGACTCCCCACCAAGACCTGTATCAGGTGCACCGAAGGGCAGGCAGGAAGGCAGGTGTGTAATGGCTGTGGGCCCGAGCTTACTGCCCTTCTTTACGAACTAGGAATCTGAGGCCCCTGTGCAGAGGGCTCAGGACTTGCTAAGATCGCCCAGCAGGTTGTAGGAGTGGTTAGAGCCCGACCTGCATGATGCCGGACACGCGCTGAACAGGCTGACAGTGCTATAAACCCCCTCACTTGCAAGGGCACAGGCCCTGTGTCTCCCGCCTGCCTCTTCCCTCGTCCCAAAATCAGGGGAACCAAACGCAGAGCAGTGGAGGCAGAGGGCACTGGGCAGAGCCAGGGAGAAGCAAAAAGCCAGCACTGGGAAATGGGCGAGAAAGATCGTCTGCAGCCTGAACTTGTGCGATAGAGCAGCAAAACCTCAGCAGAAGGAAAATGGGCGAAGAGCAGCAGACACAGGAGCCATGAGAGAAGAGAGGGCCTGGAGGGCTTGGGGCGTCTGGTCTTCCTGAGGCAAGCGTGGGGCACCCCACTCCGGGCTCATGTCCTCCCTTCTGCAGGACCGCAGCTAAAGCGGCCGTGTGCTGGGTGTTGCTTGAGCACCCGTAACAGCCCTTCGGAGTAGGTCCCTGCTTGCCCACATTACAGGTGGGCGTTGATGCAGGCAGAGCTCGTGACTTGCTGGAGGAGGCGCAGCTCGCCAGCTTCAGGGCTGTCTGCACTGTCCCCGAAGGTGGCTCGGGTGTCCAGCCTTCCGCCCTGCCCCAAGGTCGCCTGAGGGTCTTCCCCTTCCTGGACTTGCAGGAGTCAGGTGAGCTGTGGACGCTGGACTCAGCCAACTCTTCAAACTCCACCCCGTTGCTTTTCTTTGTCCAACAGCTCAGCAGACCCCACCAGGGAACTCTGAGTGTACGGAGGTCTCCCCACCATCTCTGGAAGTTTCTCACGGTCTCTCCGACCCCTGGGGTTTTCAGGCTTCAGCGCCTCTGTTCCTGGAAGCACTTCAGAACTTTCTCCGAAGTGGAGGGATGTTTCTTTCCCCACCCATCCCTGGAGAGCTCTCAGGCTCTTCTTAGGGCTCGGCGGGGCTTCCTGTGCTGAGTGGTAACGGAAGCTCCCAGCCCCTCGTGGGGAGCAGCACCCTTGCTCTGTGGTTGGTGTCTTTTATGCCTGCCTAACGCACTGATTTTATTGTTTTGTTTTGTTTTGTTTTGTTTTTTGCTTCAAAGTCATGAAAGTATTCTCCTTTTCATGCTCTTGGGAGCTTTACCATTTTAGCTTTCAAATTTAAGCCTATGATCCATTCCAAAGATCCATTCCAAATTAATTCTGTGCTTGGAGTAAAGCAGAGGTCAGGATTAATTTTTTCCCTTTATGAAAAGCCAGGTACCTCAGAACTATTCTTTTCAAAGACCTTCCCTTCACACCCCCTCAAGTTGTGAGGAGTTTTACTGAGCCAGGTGAGCACATCGGTGTGGTGTCTGTCTCAGCTCCCTCCTGGCCTGTGTCTCCCATCTTAGCCGGCACCACGGGGCCTGATGGAGCTTTGTGGCTCCCGAGCTCTGACGGTGCAGGCCCTCCACATTTACTTTTCTTTAAGGTTGTCTTGGCCATTTTCAGTGCTTTGATTTTCATAGAATCAGCTCAGCTACTGCCAAAGCCTGGCAAAGGTTTTGAGGGAGGGTGGGTGCATTGGATGTGATGTCAGCCTTGTTCTCTTGGGTCCCCTCCAGCTGTCCTAGGACCTCCCTCCACCCAGCGGGCCTGGCACCACCCAAGGGTGGACTCCACATGCAGCATGGCTATCTCAGGAGGCTCCGCCACCATAATGGCTGGAGTGGCCACCATGTCCCTGGTACTCCTAGTCACATGACACCTCATGATGGGGAGCATTCTGAGGACTCTGTCCCCAGGTAATTTTGTCATTGGAGTGTGGATGGGTCAGTCCCTCAGGGCAGCCTCTGGTGCTCAGGGAATGTGTTGGGGCCGGGCAAGGGCTCAGTGGTAGAGCACTTCCCTCACAGGCAGGAAATAAAAATAAACATGGGGCCGGGGATTTAGCTCAGTGGTTCTGCTGCTTGCTTTGCAGGCACAAGGTCCCGAGTTCGATCCCTGGTACCAAAACAAAACAAAAGTAACCCAGGAAAACATGACAGGTGGGAGGCTGCTGCCGGCAAATGCATACTGTTGTGCAGTAAACCATGGCGGGGGCCGGAGGGACTGTGGTTGAACCCGGGGCCTTCACACTGAACTACATCCCCAGACCTTTCCTTTTGTTCTGAGACAGGGTCTTGCTACGTCGGGAAGTTGTCCAGGGTGGATTTCAACTTCAAGCCTCCTCCGTCTTCAGCCTCCCAGAGAGCTGGCGTAACGGAAGGTTTTTTTTCTTTTTAATCAGTAGGACCACACTCTAATGAGAAAGGAATAGTAAATCATAGGCCAGCTGCTCCTTATCACTGTCAAGCAGTGTGTGCCATGCATAATGACTGGCAGTTTTTACCACCACAAACCACAGGCAAGGCCTTGTGCCTTGCCACAGTGCCGATGATCTGAAGTGGCAGGGACTTTTCCTCCACTGCGCCATGTGTGGCCCTGGCTAAACACCCTAATGTGGGTTACCTCCCCATAAAATACTGGCCAGGCCCCCTCTGGGCAGCGGCTGGCGGGGGACAGGAGCAGGGGGACACTGGTCAGCACCCTCCCAATCCCGTGCAGTGTGGAGTCTGCGGCGATCCTGCTCCCTCCGTGCAGGGTCCTGGCGGGGAGCTTGTCCCTCCCCACCCAGGTGGTCTGGGGGCAGGAAGTGAGTGGGGAGAAGATGGGACAACAGGCTCTGGTTCCCCTCAGGGACTGGGGTCGTGGTGGGAAGGGGCTGCACAGGGCCCAGGAAGGAGAGGCCCACCTGGCGCCCCTCAGTGCCAAGGGGGACACAGTGCCGCTGCTGTGGCACAGTCCTGGGGGGCTGGGGGGCTGAGGAAGGGCCAGGTCGGGGTCTCGGGGACTCCAGCCCTCAGGGGGCCTGCGCCCGGGGCTCGTCTGGGCTCTGTCGCTGAGCAGGTGCTGGGCCAGTCGGGGGAGACGGTGCCAACTTCCTCGGCTGTGACTCAGCAGTTCAGGACGCCCTGCGCCCCGCTGAGTCAGGCCCACCTCTGCCGGCCACAGCTCGGCCGTCTTGGCCTCCGCATGCCCGGGCGCCTCCTGTGCGGGCCGTGCTCCGTGCAGAGTTCTCCCCTCGGCCTGCTGACCGACTGGGCTGGACCGTTCTCGGGCGGGGCGGGGCCGCTCCAGCATCGTGTGATGCTCACAGCACCCGCAGCCCTGGCCCCAGCAGCACCCCCCCGACTGCCCAGACTCCTCCAGAAATGGCCCAGCGTCCTCACAGAGAACCGCTGCCCGAGAGGCAGGGTCCCTGGAGAGGGGACGGGGCTGTGCAGAGAGGGGTGTCAGTCGCCCTGGGCCCCACGGAGCGGCAGGGAAGGGGCCGTCTGTGCCCCACGCACGTCCCTGTCCCGCTGCATGAGGCGCCTGGTGCTGCGTTCCTGCGCAGTCCCTCTCGGCCTGACCCGGCAGCCTCATTAATCCCCCATTACCTGAGTTAATGAGCACCTGCCACTGCTCCTCCCGGCCCAGCCCTGCCGGGGCGAGGGACCAGTCACGCCAGCGTGACGCGGGCGCACGGTGCCCAGCCCGAGGTGTGGCTGCCCCTCCCTCCGCTGCACACTTTCGGCCAGGGCCGCAGCGCCCGGCTTCCCCGCGGGGAAGCAGCCACGGACGAGGCCGCGGCACCCAGGCGCTTCCTTTCCGCCTCGGGAGAGCAGCAGCACCGGAGAGAGCAGCGCCGACTCTGACTCCCTGTCCTGCCCTGCGCCGGCCGGCCCGGGAGAGCGCGGGCTGTGGGCGGGGAGTGAGCAGGGAGGGGCGCGGGAGCCTCTACCTTTCCGAGTGGGGAGACGAACGGGGAGACGGCTTCGGCAGGGCCAGCCTGCGGGGCGCTGTGCCCTCAGCCTCGCCTCCGTCCCTGCTGAGCCTGAAGCCCCTGTGCGGCTCCTGGGCCCGCGCGGCCCGCGCGTGGGCTCCCTCCCTGCCCAGAGCCGTGCTCTCTCACCTGGTCCTGCGGCCGCTCCACCCAGCGCAGAGGAGAGCGCGTGTGTGAGGACCGGGTGTGGACCTGGACACCAGCCAGGCCCGAGCCTCCTCCCGCGCCCGCCCCGCAGCCCTGCCCTCGCCGGCTCACTCTCCCCAGCCCTGGAGGCCGCGCGAGGCCAGTCCCCCTCCAGGGCCTGTCAGGAGCCACCCTCCCAGCCCACAGCGGCACCCAGGTACCTGGCTCCGTGACAGGCAGCTTCAGGGACCCTTATCAGAGGGCTCTCAGGGTGGGGCGGCTCCATTTGCTTAAGGCTTAGTCGTGAGGGCCCCAGCCCCATTACGTCAAGCCCGGCCCCATATAAGACGAGGGTCCCAGCCCCTGGTCCCAAGCAAGTGCCCAGCTCCAACATGGCCCAGCTGCGCCATAGCCTCTGCTCCACTTTTGGCCTCCTCCTCCTCCTTCTAGTGCCTTGGGCGGCAGGTAAGATGCCCTCAGGGGTGAAAGGTCCCCATTGTAGCAGGATGGACGTCAGAGCGGCTCTTCCCTTGGTTTTGTTGGGTTGGATGGCCAACCCTAGAGGTGAGTGAAGGATGGCAGGCATGGAGGTGCTGCGTACAGTTGCCCAGAGTGCTCACTGCTCAAGTTTGCCAGCTAGGGGACACGTAGGAGGCGCAAGCCAGCCCACGCTGTGTTCCTTGAGATGTGGCCTGCAGGGCTCCCTCAGGATCGGGCTTCTTCGAGCTTGCTTACGGCACGGGGTGGGCTGGCAGCCCTAACTGGCAGGGGCAGAGCTCTGGCATTGGTTGAGCACCTGCTATACACAAAGAACTGGAAGAACATGGGCCGGGGATTTAGCTCAGTGGTTCTGCTGCCTGCCTCACAAGCAAAAGGTCCCGAGTTCAATCCCTGGTACCAAAAAAAAAGAACTTGAAGACACTCATGATGCTGCAGCTCAATTCATCTCCTCACCGAGGTGGTCAGTAATCCGCATCTTCCAGCTGAGGAGCCTGGAGAAGTGAAGGGGCCCAGGCAGAGACGCAGGCTGCAGTGGCAGGCGGGGATGCCACGGCCTGCCTCCTGGGTGGAACACGGAGCCGCCTGACTCTGCACCTGCCCCGGGCTTGTGGCCAGGGTCCCTGGGCCTCCCGGTGCCCGCTGTGACCTGGCCTCCCTTGCCACATTGCCATCCTCCGGCTCCCAGGTCCGCTTCGTAGGTGGCATGGGGTGGGGAAGTTGATGGGTGAAGCAGGGACAGAGAGGAGTCCAAGTCACCTCGTCCAGTCAGGAGAGGGCAGGGCTGGGCCGGGCGGAGGGGCCAGACTGGGGGCTGGGCGAGGCCAGGGTCTGTGCCCCCCCCGTATAGGGGCACCCCTGGGCCTGTGCCCCGGAGCAGGGGGTGCAAAGGGTGACCCAGCTCGCACAGGACCTGGCAGCCGGGGAGCTGCCCTGGGCTCTGTGGGCTGCGCCTGCTGGAAGGCGGAGAGGCCGGGCGGGCGTTGAGCCAGGCAATGCTGGACCCCCCTGCAGTCACTCTCCAGTCCCCACCCGGCCGGTGTAAGACGCAGGCCCAGACAGGACAGAGGGAAAGCGGGGCCAGGCACTGACTTCTGCTGGCAATCAACTGGGGCAAAGGCGAGCTACGTGCAGTTTCTATGGAAATTAATGTAAACACGGCACAGAAAGGACAAGACAAAGCATTCTGGAATTAGGAACAGAACAGACCAAATATGTGGTTGTAACTGGAACACTGTCCTTCTGGTCAGAAGGTTTTAGTTGTGGGAACGGAATTTGGATGCGAACTGCTCTGGCCTTGGCACCAGCTGGGCCCACTTCTATACACTGCTTGGGGCACGATCAGTGTCGCCACCCTCTGCGGGGCAGGAGGGAAGAGGGCGCCTGGAGAAGTGACGCCCTCTGCAAGACGGTCTTGGGGGCCCCTGGCATCTGCCCTGAGCCCAGTCCCTTAAACCAGCTAAGCCAGCCCAGGGAGCTGGAGCTGGGTCCTGAGGGGACCCGCTTTTCATGACTTTGCTTTGGGGGGGGCCACTGGGGATCAAACTCGGGACCTTGCACTTGCAAGGCAGGCACTGGAACCACTGAGCTAAATCCCGGCCCCAAAAGGACAGTTTTGTACCATAAATGTTATTTAATTTCATATTTTTGACAAAGGTAATGAATGCTCATTGTAGAAACTGGAAAATCGAAAGAGCATAGACTCTCTGAATACCCTGTTGTCCCCAGGCAGTCGGTACATTTCCCTCCAGCCTTTCTTATACCTTTATCTGTGCTTTAAGTCACATATTGAGCCCAGAGCTGGGCGTGGTGGAGCACACCTGTCATCCCAGCAGTCAGGAGGCTAAGGCAGGAGGATCACTGTGAGTTTGAGGCCAGCCTGGGCTACACAGTGAGTTCAAAGCCAGTCTCAACCACACAGGGAGACCTGTCTCAAAACAAACAAAACAAAAGCCCCACATATTGAGCTCATACTGCAGACATCTAACAAGTGCTTATCCGCCTCCTCCTCCTCCTCATCACTATTGTTTGTGGTACTGGGGATCGAACCCAGGACCTTTGCCCTGAATCACACCCCCAGCCTTTTATGTCTTATTTTTATTTTGAGACAGGGTCTTGCTCAGTTGCTAAAATGCCTAGGCTGGGCTTAAACTTGCAACCCTCCTGCCTCGGCCTCCCAGAGTGCTGGGGTTACAGGCATGTCCCACTGTGCCCAGGTTATTTTTCCACATTATTGCAAGTGGGTTAAGCTACTTTGTCAGGGGCGGGAGAGCAAGAAACACTAGGAATAATGTCTTGACAAGGCTTCCCTGACAGGAACTCCAAGGCATGACTCACTTAGCAGGATGTCTGACATTTCAAACAAGCAAAGGGAGCTGATGGAAGAGACCTTTGGAATTGTACAGATTTGATGTTGTGAGATTTGTTTTTATTTTTTAAATCCAGGTTGAGCAGCTATTTACATTAAGACCACAATTTACTTTTTGCACTACCTGCAAATACTTCAGTGGCCAAAACAGTTCTTTCCAGGCCCTTATTGCTGTAAGTGAAATAAAGATCCCCTGATAAAAGCCTTGTAGGGAGATAAAACTGCCACCAAGTAAATCTACTGGGGAGAGACAGGTATCCCATCCTGGGGTTTGGTCACCGAGTTAGCCTGAATTCTAAGATCAAATCAAGAAATTTCCCGAACTTCAACTCCAGATTTTACCATCTCTGGTCCACGACTGCACGATTTGAATCTGGGATTTTAAGAGCTGTGACCTGGCTCCAGTTGCTGACTGAGTTTGTGGCAGGGCAGTTGGCGTTCCAGCTCTGGCGGGCCAGAGGCTTCTGTCCACCATCAGCTCACTTCAGTCACTTCGCAGACGTCACTGCTCGGTCTTGCAGCCTTTGGACTCACGAACGTGCTTGCTTTTGGATAACGCGCACAGCTGGCAGGGCTTCCCCGGCCTTTCCCAGTCTTGAGCATCCTCTCACGGGTCTGTTCAGCAAATGAGCACGCGGAGCCGCCTATGGGCCAGACGCTGCTCTAGGCTGGGGTGCAGCCCTGAACGCATCGATCGGAGTCCCGGCGTGAGGGAAGCTGAACCGAGTCTCCCGCGTGCTGTGCGGGCGGGAGGGCTGTGGACAGAGCACGGCGGGAGGCCCGGATGAGAGGGGGGCCGCGCGAGCGGAGCAGGGGGTGAGGGGGAGTGCGGGGCGCGAAACAGTTTCAAAGACCGCAGTTCAGATTCAGCCGCACCTCAGAAGCTCTCCTCTGCGTCGCACCTAAGCTCTGCAGGCGACACTGACGCCAGTCTCGGTGAGAGCTGAAGACTCGGGCTTCAGCCAGCGGAATGGTCTGGGCAGAAGCAAAGCTGAGGACGGCAGAGCCTGGACTCGGCCGGCCTGGGTCTGCGGGGCCGCTGGGCTGTGCCGCTGTGTGCCGCCTGCTCACCAAGCCCTCGGGGAGCCTGTCTGTCCCTTGGCATGCTTAGCATGAAGCCTGACTGCCAGTTACTTTGCCTCTTTGTTTTAAGTATTATTATTGCTTTTTGAGACAGAGTCTGGCTCTGTAATTCAGGTTGGCCCCGAACTCATGGTGCTACTCCTGCCTCAGCCTCCTGAGCGCCACCACACCCAGTACTATGCCCTTTGAATATCCTTTCCTCATGCGAAAAACTAAGCTCATACCTCTTGTTGCATGGGTTTGTGAAAAACATGAAGTAAACAGATATATGAACAGCACAGTTTAGGGCTTCTACAGATGTGTCCTTCCTTTCCCAAGAGACAGGGCTGATTTATAAGGTGTTTGCTATGGTCTTAGCCCGTAAGACAGTGCGCCTGGAAGTCAAGAACGTGTGTTCAGATTCTGGGTTCACCTCTTACCTGCTGGTTGCCCTTGAGGAGATGACTTAACGACTCTGAGCCTTGTTTCCTCATGCAGGAAACTGGGAGAATAGTAGATAGTTCTCAGCCACAGTGGGCTCCTGAGAAGTCAATGCGTTAGTGTCTGTTGTCCTGCCTGCCTCAGTAGTAATGGCTCAGAAAGACTGGCTGTGACTATTGCTGGAGGACTATGTACAGTTATGTTTCCTCCAAGAGACTCCAGTCAGGAGAAGTTGACATTTTCCAAGGAGCCTTGTTGGGGTCAGGTGATAGTCACCAAAGAGGGGAATCCAGAAAAAGAAAGTCTGTGAGGGAACCTGGCAGTGTGTTAGCATTCTATTACTGTAACAAAACACCTGAGATAACCAACTTATAAATAGGAAAGGTTGATTTCAGATCATGGTTTTGGAAGGCTGAGTCCATGAGCCCTTGGCACCTCTGCTGTGGGCCTGTGGAAGCCCATTATGCTGGGAGCCCGTGGCAGAGCAAAGCCATGGTCAGAAATAACGCACATCTGGGGCCCCGCTGTCCTCTTCAACCTGAAGGCAGGCCCCAGGTCCCATCTCCTAAGGGTTCTACCACCTCCCAACTGGAGACCAAACCTTTGAAACATGAGCTTTGGGGGACAGTCCAGATCCACTACAGCACTTAGAGAAGGTGCCTGAGAAGTGACAGCTGTTACTGGGATTGCTGTCACGGGAAGCAGAGAACGGAACTGGCAGAGTGGAGTGAAAGCCTGAGATTTCAGCCCTTCTCTCTCCCCGAACCTCACCTCCCTGCAAGGGCGAGGCCTCCTCCTTGGCCCTCACCCTCTTCTTGTCCCACCCGTATTTCCTTTGAGGCCTGTGTCCCCCAGCCCACCCTCCTCATCAGCAGAGAGGTGGGTGGGCCGTGGTTTCCCACAACTGGGAATGGGCCCAGGTTCTGGCTGCCACCTTGAGCTAACAGAAACTTGAATCCCAGTTACATAACCACACAATCTCCCTCACGTGTTGGGATCTCCTGGTTCTCATTCTTCTTGCCAGATATCAGCGCGTGTCCCATGTGCCCTATCCAGTTGTTTCCCCGTGGAATTAAGGCCCATATCTGCCCCTTGATAGGGGTGTTTCCTTCACACCCTGTCCTTAAACATAGTTGGTTCCTCCTAAGACCTCGCTGCCTTGTTCACTCCTGTCAGGACCTCCAAGGAGATGTCTTTTCCTGTCAAGAGGCCCCTTCATCTGTCCCCAGATGGCATTAGGAGCGTAAAGAAGAACCTAATGGAACCACAAGGGTTAAGTCAGCTTATCTATTTCCCCTTCCTGACTAAATTTCATCACAAAAATGGAAGTTTCCCATCTCGCTCCCCTCCCCATCCGCCATTTCTCTCATACTCCTCTCACTCACAACTTCTGTCTGCCTAATTTCTACAGAAAATTCTGCCGGAAGTCTTACCTCAGCCTCTCACACTATTACATTTGGAATGCAACTGGAGCATCATGAAAAGATGGAGACTCTGATATTTGTTCCTTTTCCTCGCAGTTCTGCCATGGAAAGGGAATTCTATTCCTTAAGTCTGTGAGCCCTAAAGGAACACCTGTAAAGCAAAATACTGGTCAATCCTTGCTCTCACTACTTCACATTTGATAGGCATGGTAGGAAGCTGATGTTGACAGGGACCAAATGACTATAATGCCAAGGTGAAGGTGACAGGATGGAGTGATTAATAAAGATATTTTTGAGCACTGCAATGAGTCCTTTCTGCTTAGTGGAACCAGGGAAGATGCCGGAAGGACTTGAAATTAAGAGTTGAGGAGGAGGCATGGGAACAGAAGGAGGCAACATTTTTGCAGAAGGCATGGTTTGAGAAAAAGTCTAGAAGCTGGAAGTAAGAATGGGTATTAGGTATTGTGGTATTCTGAGGAGACTGGCTGGGGAGACATATCTGGGAGAACCAAGGGACCCTAGAGATGGAGGGAAGAGGGAAAGAACTTAGGGGGAAGATTCTTATTTGCTTCTCTCCCTCCACAGGTGCTACATCTCAAGAACTTCAGAAAGCTGGTGAATCCTCAACACCTGATCACTTATCCTCCTTCACCCCAGGCCTTGTCCATAATGCTCCCTCTGACCACACTGCTCTGCATTCAAAACAAAGACCTCCAGACCTCCCCAAACCTACTGAAATTCAGAGGTCAAAACGCCACTGCAACACCACACGCCGTACCAGGCCAACTCCCAAACCTATAGACAACTCCAGAGGTGCAGACTATGAGGGCTCTGGAGTTCACCACAGACCTCCTCCCACTTCTAAACAAAACAGCAGCAAGCAAAAAGAGGAGCCAGTTATCCAGGAAAAACCCTCTAACCATCATGTGGACTCCACTAACATACACAAAAGATCACCTAACCAACAGCATTCAACCTCAGCACCCACGAGGAAAACAACTTGTAAGTCCACAATAAGAAAAACAAGAGTAACAAAAAACACAGCTACAACCGTAACACCTGTGGAAAAGACTGCCATTAGTTTGAATAATACAACCATCATCTCCCACAAGACTACAATTCGTTTTCACAACTCAGTCAATTCAGAGACCAACATAAAAAACACATCTTCCTCAGAAAAAAACACGCAAGCCACAATGATATCATACAAAACTACAAAAAGCCCAGAAAAGTCAGATGGAGCTGAAGACTATAGGACTACAGTTGTCTCAGGCAATCCCCTCACAAACACTATGAAAGATATAAAAGAGACATCAGCCAGTGAGAAGGCCACAGGAGCGCAAACAACACCTCCAGAACATGGAGGAAAGACCACGTTGGCCCATAAGCTCACAGGACCCCACACAATACTTCCAGAACATGGTGGAGAGACCACGTCAGTCCATGAGCTCACAGGACCCCACACAATACTTCCAGAACAT